GAGCCAACAAAATTATCTCCCGTGTTGAATATTTCAACACAATTTAAATGATTCTTAACACTCTTTAAAAAAATTGTAATCTAATGATACCAAATCAGGAAAAAATGGTGGATGGCTACTATCCAATCAAATTGCCTTAATTTTTCAAGCTTATCTTTTGCACGAAGCTTGACACTATCATGATGGAAAATTAATTTTTTTTTGTTATCCACTGCTGATCTTCTTTTCTCAATACATTTGCAACAATTCATAGCGAATTATTCTATCCACATCCCACTAAACCCAGAAGAAAAATCATTTTTAAATGAAGTCCTTGCTTCAGTTGTCTCATTGCTATCAACCTATTGTCTGCGACATATCAAAATTGTCACACACTCATACAAAAGTAAATTTTACAAATACATTTATATTCTCAAATTAGGTATAATTCTTTCGTTATAATAATCGATCGTTTCCATAAAAATAGAAAATACCTACTACATTAGATACTTACGATACGATCCAGTATTTATCCTTCGTCGATAAAACAGGAAACGCATCCAATTCTATAATTCTTGCAATAAAATCAGATAGCTAAATCAGCTACTGCGATAAAAAAAAAAAAACAAGAATTATACACGAAGTATGAACATTCTGGAGCCTAACGAGTCAGTAAAAACCCGGGGGAATTGTGCTGACGAGGAAACGTGAAGCGAGCAGAAATTGGCGCGGGTAAACAACTATGCAACAATGATATTGACTTCCAAGCGAGGCTAGTTTGCAGGGATACCTGGATCTGTACATCTGTACTCGTTTCCAGATACCGTAAACTCACCTGGGAAATCAGACGTTTCTCGTCGACCACTTGATAAACGTTACGCGGAAATGTCTGCTGGATAATTGTTCCACATCGCTTTACGAAGAAACACTCTGGGTCATTGTGAGACCAAAAGAAGATGCTTCGAATTGTCTGTGCTGTATAGTGGCTCGACTATCTTTATCGCTTCGTGAAAACTCTCTTCTTAACTCTTAGAGGCAAGCATATTTTTTCGCACTTCGTAAGCAAACTGTTTATGTGCTCATGTCTAATTTTTTACTGCTCCAAGCTTTTAAAAAATAAATACAGAATTTTTCAATTTTTTGGCCCTTCATTTTTCTGGATTAGGCACATGTTTTTTCCTCTTATGCGAACGAGGGTATAAAAATTCGCGAGGTGGAGAGGAAGGAGGGTTAGAAAAATATTCTAGGGTACTTTGGCTCTTAATTTTTCTGGACTAGACCAATTTTTCCTCTTAGGAAAGAGGGTAGGAAAAAATTGTTAAATACTTTGGTCCTTCGCTTTTTAGGTTTGGCTATTTTTTTCCTCTTGTTCGAGAAAAGGTTAAAAATTCGCGAAACGAAGGGAAGAAGGGTAGAAAAAAATTCTAAGCTACTTCGGTCCTTAATTTTTCTGAATTCGGCCCATTTTTCCCTCTTATACGAGAAGACCTGAAAAAATTCCCAAAATGAAGGAGAAAAAGAGAAAAGAACAATTCTAGAATACTCTAACCCTTAATTTTCAAGAATACTTTAGCACTCACTTAACAATTTGCTTACACAAAAACGATTTAAGAAACAAAAGTACACTAAAAACGCCTTTCAGCAGTTTCTCCCTCTTACAGATCCAAGTTTTCAAATACTTAAAATTAACCCTCTCATAATTGACACAAGTACGTACATGGAAAATTATGCAAATTATTTCCAATGAAAACGTTTCGTTCCAATAAAATTATTATTTTTCAAAATTTCGCGGCTTAAAACCTCAGAAACTTCCAAAATGACCTAACAGATACCATCCTCCAAAACATAGTATTCACTATCAAACACCGTACAAAAGTTCTCTGTCACGTTTTGAATTCCGCAAGATCCGCGTAATTCCGCGCCGCAACGCGTCAGAGTTAGGTTCACCTAGCTGCTCCAGGGTCCAGTTTTTACGAGAAGGATACATCTTCGCGACTTGCATCGCGTCTTCGCGGAGTATTTGACTCCTGAGGTCGCGAGTTCAGTGGCCGGTTGCAGGGTCCGCTTGGCCAGAACTATTTCTCTCAAGATCGAGCTGTTCACTTTTTACGAGTGCCTCGACTACAACTCGCGGTGTATACTTGTCCGAGTACTGCTTACACCTAACATTGTGTCTTGTTCGACTAGCGGTTAGTTTACGAGACGCTGCCACGTTGCACTCGAATCGCGAGAACTTGTAACCCCGACTGCTGTGGATTTAACCCTTTGAACTCCACATTTTACTTTTTCAATTTTGTATTATTTTAAGAATTTTATTTGAAATGCACTACAAAAGACATTTGGTCTTTAAAATTTAACAAAATTAAATAAAGAAATTAAAAAGTTAAATGAAAATTTAAACAATTTCTCTTACTAATTGTACTGAAAATAGCGTTAAGTGTCGTATATATGTGTACCTATTGCTCATCGAGATAAAAAAATATTGCAAAATATAATACATATTTAAACTGGTAATTTAAAAATTGCTTCATTCGTACCTGTGAGTAAAACTGATGTCGAGTCACACTCGACAAAGGAATTCTTCGCTTCTGTTTGTTCCTGGGAACAATTTTCAAAGTGTATAAAATGACCTAGTTTTTGATGTATCCATTTTAGCCCTTCGTAGGCAAATATATGTTTGATACTCCATAGGCACAGTGAATTATTTATGTTCAAGTCTAATTTTTTTACTGTTCCAAGCTTTGGAAATATGTGAATAAATTCTGAGATACGTATCAAAGTCTTTACTATATTGTACAATTGTTCGTTAAGTCGTATGTTTAAAATTTGTTATATCAAAGATAATTAATAAGAATTATAAAAGGTAATAAAGAGAAACTGAGTTCATTTGCGATTTGCAAAAAAAAAGCAGACTAGCAAGATGTTCATCAGCGCGTTGTATAAACTGGAGATCATTACGCACGTTTGCAATTAACGCTGATTATTATTCTAGAGCCCGAACGCTGTGCTATCGAAATTCATTCCGTGCAACTTCTTAGCCGATAGCTACCACTTAAGATGCATGGCGTCTCCTATCCAAACGACACTGAAAGCGTTTCGAGAATGTGCATTACCGATACATCGAAAATTCAGTATTATCGAAAATGCAAATGGAAACTTGCCTCTGAGTTCTTTAAGTGATCAAATTCGTTCCTGTACTTACCTTGCGCTCTCATTAGCCAGGACCAATTGAAAAGTATTGTTTTGTTTAGAATTTTCGCTGCAATATTCGCTTAACCCTTTACCGTCGAGATGCGAATTACTTGTACATCGTATAATTAGGTCAATTCCACCTTTTTCTTGAATTGAATTAATATCGAAATTATATTTTCTACGAATTATTTTTGTCGCTCGAAAATGTGTGAGTTTATTAAGTAGGTTTATGGGTTTTTGTGAATGTACTCTGTAACAAGCGCACTTTTAAATTGAGTTAAAGATAGTTTTACAATTTTTTATTTTTGCTGATCAAACAAATATGTGAGCTTATTGATTGGGTTCGTAGTCTTTTGTAAACGAATATACATACGTGTGTCTATATGTATACCTCGAAGGGTTAAAGCTTTATTTGAACGAAACTTTTATGTGTACTAAATACACTTTTAAGTTGAATTAATGATAATTTTGCAATGTTCCTACAAAACTGCTAAGCTATCCACAGAATTTATTTAAAAATTGTTGAAATGTGAATGACGTTCAGAAAAATTAAGAAAATTATCAAAAAATTTGAATAATTTGAATAATCTTTAAAATTTCATCATAACACATTTATTTACAATTATAAAAATAACACGTCGAATCAAATTGGCTCAATTCGTTTATCTCCCCTATCAAGTTTAAATTCCGATTACCCACAGATCCATCGATAAAATTTCAGCGGTGTGAGGGTAAAAAAAATACCAACATTAAATAAAAATTCCAAATTCTGAGAATATCGCAAAAATTCACCCAACCAACGTACGATTAAAAATACCGTTCACTGGCAATATCTCTTACACAACAATTTTTCTCCAAATAATTCATAAACAATTTGAAAAATCCCACTTATGTCATGGACACCTGACATTATACTTCAATAATATTTTACTGAGAATAAATTAAGAAAACTAAGCTTCCAGAACAACAATTAAAAATTCAATAACAATCGAACGAATAATTATTAAAAAACTACGAAGAAAGGAACGCAAAAGACGTTAACGACGTTTCGCCTTATTTCTCACTTTTTTAAGAGCCTTGAAAACAACAGACCCTTGAACACATATCAAACCGCATTAAACAAAGCGTGATGAACGTAAGTGAGACGAGTGGATGCCGCCTTTTGAAGGCACGTGTGTTCGGCATCGATACTGTCAAACGTGATTCTTCGCTTTTCAACTTCCTTAGCACCGCTTCAGTTGATCTTTGGTACGCGCTCGGAGAAGATCGTTGTGTTCAAATTTACAATGCGAATTTGCAAAGATCAAATTGTTTATAATAATGTGTAAGGATTATCGCTGTTCTTCTCTTATTTTTATATTGAAATGATTATTGTGGAAGTTTGTATTTAAAATCACTAATTACGTGTCAATTTATAACTACAACTCTGTTGTTGATTAATTTAGAAAATTGTGCGTTTGCAAAGTGTTTCGCCGTGATTTTCACGTTTCATTGTTAACATTGCAAGTGGTGTAGAATGATATAATGTATTTTTGGTATCGTTTCACTGTTACGCAATTAAACGTAGTGGAATTAATTTGAAAATTTCGTTGAAACATTTCTATTAAATTGTTGAATAGATATTTTTGCAATTTACAAAGTGCTTCGCAATTTGTGCAGAAATGGAAAATATTATTCTACTCATTTTCGTCTTTCGCGTCTTATTGTGTCGTTGTTTCGCCGGAGTTAGTGTTCTGAAATCTCGAACTTTGCACCGTTTTACTACGAGTAACAATGAATTGCTACGCAATTGCAGTTATCAGAACAGAGATGCCATTTTTGGACGAATAATGAAAACGAGCCAGAAGGTGTACACTTGCTCCAGTTGTAAATACCAGAGTACTCGACTGTTCAATGTGGAACGTCATATGTGGAGGATTCATACGAATGAAAAACGACACACTTGTTGCGGTAATTGTGCATTATTCGATAGAAAGAAAATTTCAGTCTCTGTTGCAACGTGAGCTTCGAGGATTTAAAGGAGCCTGATTGCTCTCTGTTTCGAGATTTTTCGATAAGTTTAAAAATTGACAATTTCATTGTATGTACGTAAGTGTCATTGTAGACATTAGGAAACGACTATGCAACTCAATTTCAATTTTTTTTTTTTTGACGAGTTAACTCGTCATTGGTTCAGAAATATTTAGAATAATTGCAGTAATTTATTTATCGAGGGATTATTTTTAATAATTGTATTGTTATGCATGTATTAAAGGTAAAATGCATTATATTTCACATTTGGAAAAAGCAAAAGGAAGTAATTTTACTCATTTTTAATTGTGTAAATAAATTAAATTAATAAATAATGTAAATAAATTAACGAATTAATGATTAAGTAACTACAGAGATTGAATTTCTGCATGAGAAACCTAATAGGTTAATTCTGTACTTGAGAGCCAACTCCTTTTTTAATATAAAAGAAAAACAACAGTGTTCGCATAATTTTTGTGTAAAAATGTATGAATTTTATGACTAGAATGCATTGCTATAAACAAAACTGCATTTATTTGCATACACAGAAATAATTATTTTCTGTCAAATTCAAGCTCTTCTTACTGTTTTTCGAAAAAAATTATAACATCTCGATTTTTGATCAACTATTATTATCATTTTTAACATACTACTAACATTTATGATCAACTATTTCTAAATACTAATATTCACCAAATCACCTAAGCATTTCTTATTGTTTCTTGAAAAGTTTGCATAACACTCTTCGGTATATCCCACAATTCGTCTCGAGTTTAGACAAAGTGACAATGAAACGAAGTGGAAGATGAGCCAGAAAATCTGGACAATAGATTGCTTAATAAATACACGTAGCCCTCGGTCTCCTATTTCCGAGATCAACAAGATTATCTTGGCACGTTCTAAACAAAACGCGATCCTACCCATCTTGAAAACAGCTCGAGCACGCGTATACTTTGTTTTCTGAGATAAAGGAGGCACCCTTCTTCTTTTCGGGGCCGATTGTAATAATACTCTGGTGTCGATTTCATTTCGTGATTTCGCGACGTTCACCACTGTGGCCCGATTATCTACGACCTCACGCAATCAAACCGATTCATTGTAACAAATGTAACTCGAACTGATTCGACTCTTGAAATTAACCAAACTTAACTCACCTTGAATAATTAAATAAATTACTACTTTTTTCCACTGTCCACAGGAAAGAAATTCGTGACAAAAGGAGACTACTACGTCCACTGCGAGCAAAAACACCCGAAGAGAAGAGTAAACGCGATCATGTCGCGTACCAAATACAAAATCACCCGTGACACAACCATCATTCATCAATCGAAACACAAATCCAAACTCAGGAAATTCACCAGCGAGACGAAGAAATCGTACCGTATGAAATTACGATCGAAATTCCTCCACAAGAGTGTCCGCATGAGGAATTACCAGGAACAGTCGGAATCAAACACGAGCATGGAGTGTTCGGTGACGTACAGCGAGATCGACGTAGAGGACATACCTCTGATAAGATTCCTCACGGATCGTCGATTGAAGTCCTACTGGAGTCGATTGTTTTCCTCCAAGTTGGTAAACAAAACGAACGACAAGTCGATGTTGGAAGAGGAGTCGAATCCAAGTGTAAAGATTGCCATCTCGTCGGAGAGGAGGAACATCGATGAGGCGGCGTCTGAGGGCGGCTTGGAGAACGATCTGAAGAAAGTTTCCACCTCGTTGACGTCCTCTGTCTCCTCCTCGTTCTCCGTCGAATTGCCAGCGAAAAAACTTATTTTGCGCCGGTTCAGGACAAGCGTGACACACGAATACACGCAACAATGTAACAACAATAGTAATCAAGGGAACTTGGAGCAGAAGCAGCTCGAAGAAATCGTGTCGGAGACAGTTCAAAGCAGGACGACGAAAAACTACAAACGAGCCGCTTGCAAAGCGGAGAAGGAGAATATGTCGACGTACGCGTTCAGCTTGGAGCAACAGCTAAACATAAAATTGGACAGAGGGATCGCGACACCTTTGGTGACTCAGATGCAGCGAGATTTTTTGGCTTCCATCGATTTCGAGAATTACAAGATATTTTAACAAATTTTCAGAGGGAATGTTGTATCGCGGACAAGGGAACTTCGGTAACCCGAAAATTCCGATTTTGTTTTGAAACTTTGTGTTTGTAGGGGACCTCGAGAGAAGTATCGGGCAATTTTTTTCTGCGCCAATTTCGGCTCTTCGGGGTGAAAACAGCCCTTGTACACAGGCTGTCTTATGTATTTTCACCAAATTTTTAGGAATTTTCTCGAGTGCTGTAAAAAATTGTTTTGGACAGAAGTTGAAGTGTATTTAAGTGTGCATAATTTTCTTTATCTGCATTTCTTTTACTTGATTTTTAAATGAAATTACAGTATTTTTTATTGAAAAACAGAAAAATCATCAAAAGCAGTGCAATATGCCTCAATAAACGTCCTGAAACGAACTCTTAATATTTAAGAAATGCTACATTTTCATTTTAAAAAACAGAAGTTAATACTCATACCTTCGAAAAGAATTCAGGCAAAGAAGCTCCAATTTGCGAAAATTATTCACACTTAAATAATAACAAATTTTGTCCAACGTTCGAAGAAAATTCCTGAAATTTCGTGTCGACACTTAAACAGGACTTAATTTTCTGTCAGACGAAATGAAGAACAAAAGGTATTTATTTTTACACCAAAGAGAACTAGATACATGAACCAAAAATATTTAATGTGATATACTACGTACGTAAGATAAATAATAAGAGTTTTTCTTTTTATATATATTTTTATATTTCTCGCTGTAAGTAACACGAGGACGTGTGGCTTTGTAATAAAGCAGAGGGACATTCCAAGTACTGGAACCCGTAGCTTTCAGATCGACCCTATCCCCGGGGGTGACTGAACTTTGTTCCATGGTTGTTATTTTAATAAAGTGCACTTTAAGACTGAAATTATGCAGCGAAATGCTTGTCTTGCATAAACCCACACCTGGTTCTCCCTCATCCTCGAAGGTTCTGCCTTCAGGAGTACGTCACTTTCTCAACGCGTCAGCATTTTGTTTAATACCCCCATTTTAAACTCTTTACAGCTGGCGAGCAAACGAAGTTTCGAAACTCCCTTTGAACGCGCCCCGTGGAAAAACGTTTCATCGTCGGGATCGTAATGCAGATTCATTTGCATGGTGGATTTCATTTTTGTGTCATCGTTACAGAATTCTTTTTAGAGTTCGCGGGGTTCAGCCTGGGAATTTCTTGTTCCGAGAAGCGCATTCGGGGGAAACAGTGTTCAATTTTAATTCTGAATGGAGGTCGGAAATTTTCGTTATCAGCCCTTTGCACTCGGGGGTGATTTTGGTGTAGATAAGGTTGCAAATCGGATTTTTGAAATTTTTTCAAACTAACGTAGAAATAAAGAAAAAAATTCTCTATTTCACTGTGGTGAACAAATTTATCGAGGCCCATAGATCTGTTCTTTGTCTTCGTTAATTATTTACCAGGTGACGATTATTTAACGTCGCTTCTCAGTCGCCACTAGATAGCAAAGGGTTGAAAGATAGAATATCCTAAATGAAAATTAGCTGAATATAGAATAAAATACGATACAGCGAAGTTATTTTGATCTCTTTTTTTTAATTATAAGAAATTTAAAAAGTAGAAACCAATATTAATAAACCTTGGTAAATTCTCTTTTAAATTACACTTCACTTCATATTTGTTGAAAAATGATAAAAAATTGAAAAAATAATAGAATCTAATATTAATAAGGCTTGGTAAATTTTTTTTTAAATTACACGAATACATACACGCACACAACAATTTACTCGAAAAATAATATACCCTAATGTCGTACAATCGAGTCACTACAGTTCTAACATTTACGAGCTATAAATAATTAAAAAAAAGTGTAAAAGCAGAGGTATAAAAGCTACAAAATAAAATATGCCCTTGATCACGTGCCAAATCACGAAATAAACAGGGTCGAGGAGGTAATCCGTTATTCGGGGAACGAGGACATGACGTGCTCCGAAATTTTCCAGAATTTCGGTAATACACATTCACAGGCTAGAGATAGTTTCATAAACAACACTTTCCAATTCACTCGGATGCTGGTGTACACCGAGGGCGAAACAAGGATTTCGCGAACGCCCCAGTCAGATTTTCATTAGACTTTCCGCGGGAATTTCACGAGAATTCGGATTAACCAATTTTACCTTCGACTAGGATACAGGAGATTTTCATTAGTAGCCCAGGGACAGATATGACGGACTGCGAATTCACCAGCCGTGATATACTATGTATACTACATCGATCGGGTTCGTTCACGTCGATTCGTGAAAAAATTTCAAAGTTAATAATGCAAAATCACGCGGGAGGAGGGGAGAAAGCAAAAGGAGAGAAGAATACATGTAACAATTCGAATTCTGTTTGAAACAGAAATTGTTAGATGGAATATAAATTATTCTACAGCGTGGCATTTCAGCCGGAACATTTCTGTAAAAACCTATTATCGCCATTTCTCGTATTCGTTTTGTATTCCTATTGTTGCGTGGAGATTGCGTGACTGTCAATGGTTCCACATTCAACGGTACAATGCCAGTTGATAGTATTTTTCTTGACCGCTCTAGGATAAGGTAAGATAGATTTATACCGGTTCCTTTGTGTTATGTAAAATTGTCAAAATGAAGGTTGATCAATTCGAAAGGATAATTTCGGGAAGATAGAGAATATATCAAAGGTAGATGGTGTGAAAGCTGAATTTGACAAAGATAGGACACTGTCCGAAATCCAGACACATGGGAATCCGAATGCACTTGCTAATTATTTGGTTGTTGAGTATCTAACGAACCGTGACTACTCATTGTCCGGTTCGTTAACACTCCGACCCCACATACACCCTTGCTCTCGCTGGCACACGAATGGAACGAGATAATTACTCCGGTCAATTGTAACATGCATGACACTGTACCTATTCCGTGTTTGGAAAATAACGTGATCGATAATGTCACGGGTTCCTTATTGCTAATAATGGAAATAAAGATCAGCGTGTAATTAATGTTAATTGCTTTTTGTTAAGAACGTTTACGAGGAAGTAGAAAGAATTTTTAGAATGTTTTTAATAGGAAATGTATCATATTTGTACAAGCGTATCTTTGTTTTATTTGCTAATTATTTTAAATATCTGTAATCAGGTTTTTCTGTCTTCTACTGGAATTAATATTAACAGAAAAATTTTTGGAAAGTCCTCCTCTTCGAATTTTAGAAGCGTTTGTAAATTTATTTGTTAAATTAAGACAAAAGTGCGCAAAGGACAAAAATTAAAGATTAAATTAAGGTGAAAGTGTGCGAGAAAACATTGAAAACGCCTATAGGTGGTAAGGGTACACGCGAGAAAATATTGAAAACGCCTATAGGCGCTAAGGGAACACGCGAGAAAATATTCAAGACGCCTATAGGCGCCAAGGCCACAGCATTTGCAAATTTTCAGTGCCTATAGGCGCCAAGGGCAACGAAAAAGTTAGTTTAGGTTAGAGTTAAGAATTAAATTAAGGTGAAAGTGTGCCAAAAGGCGCGAGAAAACATTCAAAACGCCTATAGGCGTCAAGGCCACAGCGCGAGCAAATTTTCAAAGCGCCAACAGCAATGAAAAGGTTAAATTAGGATTGAGGACTAAATTAAGGTAAAAGTGTGCCAAAAGCCGCGAGAAAGTATTCAAAACGCCTATAGCCGCCATCGCTTGCAAATTTTCAGCGCCTATAGCCGCCAACAGCAGTGAAAAGGTGAAAAACCGAAATAAGATAAATCACTGTGTTAATGCTCTCGTATATCCTTCGAAAATATCCGCCATATTAAATCAAGCCACGGCACACTTGAATGGACCACGGAAATCGGTTATCGTAAACTGCGATCCGCTACAACATTCAGCACGCGAGACGAGAAAAGGTACATTCCATTATTCCGGGCATTCTTCAGGTACAGAGATTCCTATATCACGGGTAGAAAAATCCACCATCTGTCTGTATTAATTCACGCTACATTTACCACACGAAAGCTTCATCATCGCGCGATAAACGCACAAGTGGAGAAGTGCCGGAGCTTTTGTCCTCTCCTCTCCCTACTCTGCCCACTCTAAAAAAGATGGCCAGCTCGCGGCGCGTAAATTCAAAAAAATTGTTTGAGCGAAGAGGATGATACTCTAATAAATTTAATGAAGCGGACGATCATGGTCGAAAAATGAGATGGTACTTGTGCGAGAAAGCGCGGCCGTTGCGACTTCACGTGGATATCCGGGGGATATTACGAGCAAGGGAGCAACGTCGAGGAACCTAAACGAGTCTAAAGTACCCACTTCTCTCCTACTCAAGCTCGTTTCACAACGCGAGCGTAACCGAGTGTTTTCCTCGATGCTTCTTGACCGAGTTGCTGATGGTTTCGTTGTGGACACACAGAGGCATGTGTACTGTATATACATGTGCCGGTAGATCCCCTAAATACGACATGCTTTTACCGACAGGAACTATCGTCGGTGATACTAGTGTCGGTTTGTTACTTTGTATTCGTTACTCTTGCACCGGCGCTAAATTTATTTGTCGCCGCTCGAGCACTGTTCGCGCCAATTGCAACCGCTTGTATAAATAGCTTATGAATTTTACGTCACTTTCACTCTTCGACGTGTGAACGTTTGTTTATTTTGCAGCGTCGATGAGAGAATGCAAGACGTCGATCGGAATTTTGTGATCTTAATATCAGAGAAATTGACTTTCCACTCATGTTTCGGTGGAATTTATTATAATTATGAAAATTAAATGTAGAAATTAAAAAGGGGCCTAATTTGTTTTTCTTGCAATTTTTGAAGTCTGCAATGTAGTAATGTTTGAATTTTATTATATTTCAAGGATGGGGGAAGAATTTGAAGATTTTGGCGGGAAAACCGGTCATCTCCAAAAATAGAGATTTTTTTAATATTGTGGGACATTTTATAGAAAATTAAATATTCCTTCAAATTAATAAATTTCTTTCAAAAGAAAAAACCCCGATTTACTTTTCTCTAAATTTTCAAAGTCCACCATTAATGTGT